GCTTATGTTGCCAGATAGTCTCGCAAGATAATCTTTTATCTTCTTCAATTCTCCCAAGAAATTAATTAGCATGACTTATCTTCTTCATTTCAGGCATGGGATTAGGCAGATGAGAACTGGATGGGCAGATGGGCCTGAATTTGTGACTCAGTGCCCGATTAGGCCAGGAGGGAGCTACACCTACTGGTTTACAATTCAAGGGCAAGAAGGTACTCTGTGGTGGCATGCTCACAGTTCATGGCTTAGAGCCACCGTTTACGGTGCACTCATCATTCATCCTAAACAAGGAGACTCCTACCCGTTCATTAAACCGAAACGCGAAACAGCAATTCTTCTCGGTGAATGGTGGGACGCAAACCCTATCGACGTCGTTAGGCAGGCGACTAGGACAGGAGCAGCTCCAAATGTTTCTGATGCATACACCATCAATGGTCAACCTGGTGATCTTTACAATTGTTCAAGCAAAGGTAATTCCATAATTGCTTATATCCCTCATAACGCGAATTGACCATAATAATTGATGTAACAAGTAAATTTTACATGTCACATAATATGATTAGCTAAATTTTCACTGTGATTGTTATGCAGACACTGTCATAGTTCCCATAGACGTCGGCGAGACCAACCTTCTCAGAGTCATCAACGCTGCCCTCAACCAACCTCTTTTCTTCTCAGTGGCGAACCACAAACTCACCGTTGTTAGTGCTGATGCCTCATACACCAAACCTTTCACTACCACGGTGCTCATGCTAGGCCCTGGGCAGACAACCGATGTTTTAATTACCGGTGACCAGCCACCAGCTAGGTACTACTTGGCAGCGATTGCTTATTTCAGCGCTCAAACTGGAGCATTCGACAACACCACCACCACCGCCATTCTTGAATATAAGTCTACTCCTTGCAACCCCAATTGCAAAAACGGTCCAACAGTCAAACCAATTATGCCACAACTCCCTACTTTCAATGACACAAACACTGCTTCTGCTTTCACCAGAAGCTTCAGAAGTCCAAGAAAAGTTGAAGTCCCTACTGAAATCGACGAAAACCTCTTCTTCACAGTCGGTCTTGGACTTAACAACTGCCCTAATAATTTCAGAGCCAGAAGGTGCCAAGGCCCAAACGGGACACGCTTCACTGCCAGCATGAACAATGTGTCATTCATGCTTCCAAACAACAACTCAATCCTTCAGGCTTACCAACAAAACATTCCCGGAGTTTTCACTGCTGATTTTCCAGCAAACCCTCTGCTGACATTCGACTACACAGGAAATGTGAGCCGCTCTCTCTGGCAGCCTACGCCTGGCACTAGAGGATACAAGTTGAAGTATGGGTCAAGGGTGCAGATTGTGGTGCAGGACACAAGCATCGTCACACCCGAAAACCATCCTATCCATCTTCACGGATACGATTTTTACATCCTTGCCGAAGGTTTTGGAAATTTCAATGCCCAGAAAGACACGAAAAAATTCAACCTTGTTGATCCACCTATGAGGAATACAGTGGCATTGCCGGCCAATGGATGGGCAGTCATCCGATTTGTTGCTGACAATCCAGGTAACAATTTCACCTTTTTCACACGATGATATTCTATTCTAAACTATTCTAACCCAGTAGCGCAACGTTTCTAAGATCTGTTTATATTTAAATATATGTTTGATACTTGTAGGTGTATGGTTAATGCATTGTCACTTGGATGTTCACATCACTTGGGGTTTGGCCATGGTGTTCTTGGTGGACAACGGAATTGGGGCACTGCAATCGATCGAGCCACCACCGGCGGATCTGCCCCTGTGTTAAGAATCGTATGATCATATCAATATAAACTTCTGTAAAACCCGACTACCGAGTTTTCAATTTTCCCTTCTATCAGCTGTATGATTTCATTGTTGTCTTGTTGGCGGATCAGGAATTCAAGATTAGGGTCCCAACATAAAAGTTCAAAAAAAATATATATACAATAATATTAGACTAATTTGGTTCCATATCACAATTTTTTTTTTTCTTGTCAAACGATAGATTTTGTTAGATTAGATGTTAGATTAGTCATCGACGGAGCTTGAACCCACGCCGTTATGCAAGGGCTCAACATCTTTCTACCATTGTGATAAAGGGCCACTTGTCTATTTTTCATTGAATTTGGTTCATTGAATAAATCAAGATTAATCTCAAAAACAACAAAACTAACAAATTCTCTTCAACAACATAGCGCATTAGTGACTCTACAAGTTAAAATTTGTTAATGTAACACATATTATTAATTGGGAGTTGGGACTAGAGTTTAGGATTAAAAAAACTTATATGAATTTGGAGGAAATAAAATTAGGCAGCTAAAGGCGATAGAATTGCAAATGGTGGCGGGGAATAGGGTAACTTGGGTTTAAAGTTGGAAGGTTGCGACGATTGGGGCTGAGATTTCTTAAATATAATTTGGGGATACTAGAAAAGACTAAAGTTCTCGGGCTTTGTAGAGAAAATAGAGATATTTTAGTTTTTAAATTTTTTATAATGACCTAGCTCAAAAACGTTGTTGTTTTGGCTAGGTCTTTTAAAACAAAAATTAAAAGTCTCTTCTTCTTCTTTGTTATAAGCACTGCTGCCTGCACATCCATAGAGGCAACAAATCTCTCCACTGCATATACCCAAATTGTTGAAGGGTTCCGAAGGTCAATCACAAACGTTTCTTCGGGCTTCTTAAGGGTCCTAGGACCCCCCAAGGTCCCTATATGGATCCGCCAGTGACTCTTGAGCTCCCCTGCATTTGGGGGCCTAGTTCTTGCTCTGTTTTACTGTTCTTTTTTAATACATCGAAGCGGGTTTAACGGAGATAGCGCTAGAGTTTCATAAACTGAGCTCACCATCTGATTTTGTCACAGACAGACATGCTTTCATTGACTCATATATTGTTTTGTATTTTGTAAGCAAAGTGTTAAAAGAAATCTTTTATGGTTAATTAAATGATCTGTTTTTCTTGTTATTCCTCTGTTTTACTTAAGTTGGCACTCAAGTGAGAGCTTTAAATATCATACCCAACATACTAACAACTTTTAACCACCGTTCATCAGTCTTTGGGGAAGTTTTTTAGCGTGATGGTTACCGCTTACCAATCTAAGTGCGTTATAACACTTGAATAAATAACACCATCTAACAGTGTCAATATGACTGCCACACTAATTTCGAAGTTTTTGGTCATATAATTCAATAAGCGTTGTTTTGAAAATAATTTTGTTTATTTACCTAATACATAGGTAGACGTAGAAAATAATTTTGTCTTTCTATAGAATGAGTAGAATATATCTGTTTTATAGTTATAAAGTATTATAATTGATTATTTATCTTTAAATAATCCTCCACTTGTAGAATTAGTTTTAAAGTATATCTCTTCTTCCATAACTCCTGTATACAATTTGTGCTGTGTTCTCCGATCCCCTTCCTTCTTGTTCAGTCTTCTTCTTTCAAGCTCTTATGATTCCTTCCTCCTTTTTGAAATATAAGGTTACAATTTCTAATTTTTTTCAATGGTATAGAGCTTTGAAGTATGCCAATACACCAACAAAAGGTGCGTTGATGTACGTGGTTGGTTTTGGTTTTGTAGCATCTAATCTTGCATCTTCCTACTTGTCATCCCCACCAGGTCCTCCCACAATAGCACTAGTTAGGTCGTTTTGATTGGGAACATTGCCATGAAAATATGAGTTTCATGTGTGCACCATTAATTTCTTCCTAATTTTTAGTTTGAACTTGGATTATACATATTTTTCTTTTCAACCTTTATAGGAAATGCATTACTTTGTTTATCTACATGTATTATATATTTCTGCAATGAATCTATTTGTATATTTTGTTTATTCTACCCGTGTTATAGATTAATTGTGTTATCTACCTATACCATATGTTTTTGCTCATTAGTCTATCTATATCACATATTATTTTGTGTTATCTATCTATACAATAGGTTTTCATTCATAGTCTACCTATATCATAGATTAATTAATATTATCTACCTACATCACAAGTTTTTTATCTACCTCGACAACATTTCTTTTAATTTTGGATAAACTTATAAGATTGGTTGTAATGTGTTTTTAAAATATTTTTAATTAGAAAATTGGTAGATAAAGGTATTTGAAGATTAAAATTTTAAAATTTTAAAATTCAAAAATAAAGAATTTAAATATTTTTTATTTTTAAGGGGCAAAATAGGTGTAATAAAAAATCAAATAAAATTGGACCCAATTCGAAAATAGGTGAATTTTTTGGACCTGGATCAAACTGTCTTGTTAGTCCAAAAGAAAGGTGGGGAAATGTGGTTACGATTAGATAAAGAGAGAAAAAAACTTAGAGGGTGAGGAAAACAAGCTACAAGTATAACACCCAAGTCATTGTTTACAAGAAAATCCAAACGCCTTGATAAGGCAACAATTTCTAAATTTCCAAACTCACAATTTTCTTGCCAAACTAGATAAAGGCAGAAAAAGGTATGAAAGCATTTAAAAGTGGGTGACCAGATAAATATGTTGGATCAATACAAACAAAACAAGCAATTTAATTTTTTTTTTTTAATGAAAAATAAAGAATTTCATTGACATCAATGTCAATCAGTTATTACATACACAATGTTATGATTTTCCTAAGCTATTGTCTAACCCTATCTAGTTTAAAGGTGAGTAATGCCCAATTCAATTCTCCAAAAACCTCAAGCCCTAAACCTTAAATTATGGACTTTTTGAGTCCCAAATCTCCTACCTGGATCTCCGAAGTGAGACTCAAGCTTCCGGCCTGGCCCTCAAATTCGGAAGTTGGGACGTGGACCTAACATTTGGAACTTGGGATCCAAACACAAAAATCAAAACTCAAGCGCCAAATGTTTGGAAACTATTGGCTGATATCGAGTATCAATCTACAATGTTGATATTGGGTGAATATTTTTTAATATTACCAAATTTCGTAAAAGATATTGTAGATTAATTCTCGATACCAAATAATCTTTCTCCCGAAACGATTCATCGATGAAAGTTGAACATACTTAGCGAACTTTTTGCGGATTCGTTACGAAAACCTTTATGACTTAAGCCCCTGGTTTCTTGCATGACCAGTACATTCACCATCCCACCACAGAAATCAGGAGAAGCAAGCATGTCACCAATTACTCCCAACTCTGCATTTTCCATGAATTCTGCCATTTGTTCCTCCGACAATGTCTTATTCGTATGCCGTCGCCCCACCATCACAAGATCATACTCGACCTGCAACTGCCTGATAGTATCCATAACCTGTACGTTGTCATCCACCTCGATGTCAATCCAATTCAAACAATCATTCCCAACATTCCTTAGCTTAAACTCATCCACCAACGACTCATCGAGCATTTCCTCCTTTTTTTCCTCTTCATCTTTTTGTTCCAATTCATTCCGAAATGTGAACCTGTAGACCGTAAGGCCCACATCAGGGCTGCCTGACATGCAGAATGCATAGGATAAGGCCTCACGGTCGTCTGGTCCACCGATGAAAAACAACCCTACATTATAGGTGAAATGGCTGATCCAGCCATGCTTAGCAGAAAAACCTCTGTCAACTAGTATTCCAACTGTACATGGGGCATACGCTTGTACATTGATGTTGAATTGGCGTATGGCGGCAGTCGTGGTAGAGCCGACCATAGACTGGTGGTTTTGATGAAATGGTACGATGATAAGAGGTATAAGCTTATCATTCGCTAGATGGAAAATCGTCTCGTGCATGCATTTATAGGGAACTATCATTTTGTAGGTTTGGATGGTGACCGGTCCTCTGGAGTTTCGTGAGTAATTCTCAAAGGCTCGCATCATTTGGCGTGTGGGTGAATCTGTGCGCTTAAACGTCTTCCTCTGCTTCTTGTAAGGGATTAGCATTGGCCCGGCGGGACCAATGTGCTCGACAGCGTGGACAACGTAGACGCAAATGGGGCTTGTATCTGTTGGGTTTGAGGCTTCAAGGAGGGTGATGATGGTGCGAACACTTTCTTGGTTGTGAAAACAACAAAGAATACGAAATGTTTCATTGCTTTTTGGCATTGATTGCATATTTCTGACTGCTGAACATAATTTGGTTGATGTTACGCTGCTTATTTGAGGCTTGTATAAGAATCGTACAATTGGTGTTAGGATCATCGTCACCACCAGAAATGACAACAAGATTTGAGTAAAACATTGATCATCTACCATCTGCAATTTTCAAATAAGGATTAAAACCAAACAAATAGAAGGTATTAAAAGAGTGGATCCAACTGATTACCTTCATGGTCTTCCATCGATTATAAGCGATAAGATCTATTATGCCCTTGATATTCAGGATGGCGCCGAGCAAGAGACTATTTTTTAACCTAATTTTGCAGCACAATGCAGCCACTGTGATTGCCCCAATCTTGGCAACATATGACACAACAATGATAATCTGAAGTTTGGTAAAACTGCTCCAATCGCGAATCGAATACACGTCTATAGTGTAGCCAACACGGAAAAAGAACATCGGCAGAAGAAACTTGGAGACCAAGAATTCGGTCTTCTGTACTAATGTTGCACCCAGAGGTGGCCCATGTGGAATGGATAACCCCAGAATTAAAGGACCAGTTGTTGGGGCTGTGCCTATGAAGTCAGAGATAAATGCCATTACAAGAACCCAAAGTTGTATTGCAACTATGTAGCTTTCTTTCACTTCTAAATCTTCGGGCGTCTTCTTAATAATCAACAGTAGAACTGGTCGTACGACGTGAAGAGAGAAATATATCAATGCCAATAAGGAAATGAAAGCCTCCAGTCCTTGGATTCCACCCTTTTGTATAAACATATAATGCAATGTGGTGAATGCCCATTGTATAATATCATTGAACATTGCAGAGGACATGGCAAGTTGCCCCAACTCAGAAGTCATAAGATTGAGATCGTCCATGGCCTGAGCTATGTTAGGGATATAAGTGTACGATAGAGAAAGCGAAGAAAATAAGACCAAGATCCTTCCTCCACTGAGTCCATGAACGTTGCAGGCCAGCGGGGAAAGGATGGTTAAGGTGACTGCCAACGGGAAAAGGAAGCCCGCAAGACCAATCTTCCAGGCGCTATTTGCTGTCCTTCTGACCATGGAAATGTCCAATTTCACCGCCATTAGGAATATAGAGTATATTACGCCGAGCCAAGAGATTGTACTAAACAAAGGATAATCTTGATTGGGGAATAGTTTGTCCCTGAGTTCCTTGTTGCGCCCCAGCAGAGATGGCCCCAAGGTAATGCCAGCCTGAAAAAATCAACCAAAAGATGGAATCTGTTCAGAGCATAATATAAGTTTGCTCCTGCAGGTCATGAAACAAGTGAATTCATCAGTTAAGAACACGGGTAAGGACTTTTCAATCATAATTATATTAAACAGGCCTGTGGCTCTTTGCCTACAAATCAGCTCTTTGAGGCACTTCAGGCATTTCATCAAATGGGTTGCTTGCCACCCAAGGAAAAAAAGACAAATAGGGAAAACAAACCAGGAGGCTGCAGACCAGCTTGGTTTGTCCGAGAGGCCTCAGGAAAAAATAAATCACCCTGGACGTGATGACGATGAGGAGGGTTTGCGCCAACATTGACAAAAACGGATTTTGTAAAGGATTATCTCCTACCCAGATGCCTTTGGAGTGGAGGGGGACGAAGTGGTCCACAAAACTCCATTTCTGATCCCGGTTTGTAAGTCGTAGGGTTACTGCTTAAGCTCGTCATTTTTGCACCTGCCAAGAATTGAAATGCAATGCAATAAACCCTTGTAATTTTTCCAATTATTGTTAGATGATCAACATCTTAAATACTAAATATCGAGATTAATTGGAGATTAGGGTTGTGAAATTCAGTATAAATAAGAGGAATATCGCCATGCAACGTAAGAAACCGAGCCAGGAAGCTCATGCTATGCTCTGTTGGAACAATTGGCCAGCTACATCTGACTTTGTTATGGTTGAACAAATCAGAGCCGTTATAACAAGTAATAAAACGCGGTAAGAGCCGTTGCAGTAGAAGGTACGATCCTTATTTTGGTAGACCAGGATCTTTTGTCCAGGTCTTCGCGTACTAGTCTGTGAGTTGGAAACTTCAATTCCGATGCAAAAAATTCTGTTTAGAATGTGCAAGCTTGTTTGGTATCCTATTAAAACAAATTCATCATTTTTAAAACATTTCTTGAAAATAATTTTCTTTAAGATTCAAAACCTTATTTGATATGAAATTTAAAAGTTTTAAATCTTAAAATTTAAACCAGACAAAGAGATCCAAAAGAAGGTGAGAAAGAGGAGAGAGAATTGGAGGAGATACATAAGATGAGAAGAGAGAGAAAGAACACAGAATGAAGATAGTGGATTGAAGTGAGAAAGGAGGAGAGAGAAAATAAAGGAGTGTTTAAGTTTAAAAACTCTAAATACTTACTTTTTGTGTTTTTAGAGAATAAATTATATTTTTAAGTTAATCTTGAATTTAGTTTTTTAAAATAGTCATACCAAACAAGTTTTAAGCCCTAAAGCTTGAAAAGTGTTCTGAGTTTAAAAAGTTGAATTCAAGTACGGTACCAAACATGCCTTGATTATTTTCAAAAAAAAAAAACTTGTTTCTAAATGTTTTTGAATTAAAATTAACTTTTTTTTAATACATTCGATGTTATCTACACTAATTGGTGGGTGAGGAGAGATTTATCAATGCTCAGGAACATGGGGCAGTACACTGCACGCCATAATTAAGTTATTATACAAACAAAGGGAAGTTCTTTTTTCAAGTGTCTCTCCCCATTTGTATAATGTCATATGGCATGTGTTCTAGGCACACTGAAAAATCTCTCATGGTGAGTGGATTAAATTTCACAATGAGCTAGGCATCTTAATTTAGTTCAAATTCGCTTTTAACAAGAATCAAACTAAGACCTCTCACTTACAAATAATAAAAAATACCAATAAAATTGAACCTTATTTTTGAATTTTGATCCCATCCGTCTAAAAATACCCTATTGTCTATTTTACTTAGCCCTCGGTTAAAGGAAAAATTCTTGTGTTGGGGGCTTTTGTGAGTCACCTCGCTGAAAAGGGGTGGGATGGATCCTATAATCCCCTTTGTTGCGTATCAAAACTTCACATAATATATTGCCGCTTTAGAACCTTATAGTTACGACCGCCATTAACCAGATCTTCCCCTCTCATGTCACCAACTTCCTAGACCCTCAGGATTCAGGATGCAAACCCACAAATTCGTCGTCAACCTGGTAATCTTATAATCCTTCAGATATAGTCCTGAATTAATATGCATCTGTTGAACTACTCCTCACATTATCAAGGAGTTTTATGATAGAACTTTACCTTTCTTCACCATCCCTATCGCTGGTGACAAAATTTCTAATTGGCAGATCTGCTTCCTCTCGCAAGTCACTACTACAAAAATTCAACCTTTGTTAATCTATCAAAAGGGTCCACTGTATATTATATATTTTAGGGTTTCAACCGATAATTCGTTTTCTTTGAACAGAAATTTGTTTATTAGTACATGAAAATATTATTACGTACATTCCAGAAGATGGATAATTTGTTTTAGGGCTGAAACCGTTCCAAGAATTCGTTTATTAGTACGTGAATAATTACTTCCAGAAGATGGACAAATTAACCTTGATACAGTACCAACCAGGGAAAGAAGAACAAGCTACAAGTAAAACCAACGTATTATTTACAAGAAAGCTCAAGATCTGGTAGGCTAGTTGGGTACAAAACAAAAATCTCTGTCGTAAAAAATTGATTGTCACATGTAGGAGATTCAACGACATGATCATAAAAATCGTATTATGCCATGCAAGTTCGCAAGATACTTGAGTTTCTTGCTCTAACATCGCCATGTAGGAATTAGAGCATCCAACTCAAAATAACAAATGACGATGGTGGAGAAACCGAAGGTCTTATGTAATGTGGTGCAAATCTTGACATTCCTGATATGTTTAGTGAATAGCGATGAAGCTTGATTCTTTCTTTGAAACCTTTGCCCAGTCCCTATGAAAAGCCCCACAACCTAACTCCCTGCTCTCTTGCATAACCAACACATTCACCATTCCACCACAGAAATCTGAAGAAGCTAGCATGTCTCCAATCACTCCCAGCTCCGCGTGCTCCACGAATTCCACCATTTCTTCGTCCCTCAATGAGATTTCCGCATGCCTTCTCCCTACCATCACAAGGTCATAATCGCCCTCCATATTTTTAATGGACCTCATAACCTGCACGCTGTCTTCCACCTCAATGTCAAGCCAACTCAAGCGATTATTCCCCCTGTTTCGTAGCCTAAAATCTTCAACCAACGACTCGTCAAGCTTGGCCTCTATCCGCTCCTCTTGGTTGCCTGCTTTTAGTTTATTTCGCAAGATGATCCTCAACACCGTCATTTGCACGTCCAAGTTGCCTAACATTCGTTCTGCGTAGGCCAATGCCTCGCGATCGTCTGGCCCGCCAATGAAAAACACAGCTACATTGTGGGAGAAATGTGTCAAGCTCACCCGACAAGGTGAGCCTCTGTCAACTAGTATTCCAACTGTACATTGGCTATGTTTTTGTACATTGATGTTGAATTGCCGTATGGCGGAAGTCAAACTAAGGTCAGCCGTAACGTGGTGATCATGGAACGGAATGATGATGAGAGGAATGTGCTTGTCATGCGCAAGATGGAATAACGTCTCGTGCATGCTTTTATAGGGAGCGATCAAATTGAAGGCATGGATCATGACCAGCCCTTTAGAGTTTTGTGAGTAATTTTCAAAGCTCGCATCATTTGATGGGTTGGTGTCTTTAAGCTTATCTTCTTGTGAGGGACAAGTCGGGGAATGGCACCCCTCATGAGCTCAACTGCATGTATAACGTAGGCGCAAATTGGGCTTGCTTCTGTAGGGTTTGAGGCTTCCAGCAGGGTAATCAGGTTTCGGATGCTTTCTTCGTTGTGAAAACAACAAAGAACACAAAATTTTCCTGAGTTTCTTGGCATGGATTGGATACTTCTGAGGCGAAAAGATTCGGTTGATGCTCCTAACCGGATTTGAGGATTGTATGAGAATCGTAGCAATGGTGTTACGACCATGGTTATCCCCAACATCGACAACACAATTTGAAGAAAAGTTTGATCATCAATGGCCTACAATTAACATATTAAGAATCAAAATCAGTTGATACTATCTATAGAGTCTAATTAATTAGAAAGTAGGGGATATGGTTAAGAAGTGGTGACACTTGTAGAAAAATAATGGAGGACGAAGTGTATAATTATCTTTCTAGAGTGCTAATAACAATTCTAAAATAAATAAAATAAAATAAAAAGAAGTTAATTACCTTCGAGTTCCTCCATCGATTTAAAAGGGTAGTCTCAATTATACCCTTGGTACTCATCGCCATGCTAAGCATTAAACTATTCTTCAACCCAAATTTGCACCACAATGCAGCTGCCGTAATTCCCACAATCTTCGTAAAATACGACACGGTAATAAGAATCTGAAGTTGAGAAAATCTCACCCAATCACTAATCGAATACACATCTACACTGTAGCCAATGCGAAAAAAGAACATTGGCAGAAGAAATTCGGAGACCAAGGTTTCAGTCTTGTGGACTAATGTTGTTCCAAGAGGAGGTCCTTCTGGTATGACTAACCCTAGAATTACAGCACCCATAGTAGCCGTTGCGCCTAAGGAGTCACAGATAAATGCCATGACTAAAACCCCAAGTTGTATCGCAACTACGTAAACTTCCTTTACTTCCTCTCCGTCTGGGGTATTGCTGATAATCCACAGGATAATGGGGCGTATGATATAGACTGCAAAGATTATCAATGCCAAGAAGGTAAGAAAACCCTGAACTCCATGGCTTGATATATTTTGTTGCATCATTATGAGATAAAATGTTGTTAAGGTCCATTGGATCACATCGTTGACAATGGCGGTGGACATGGCGAATTGGCCCAACTCAGAAGTCATAAGGTTGAGATCATCCAGGGCCTGAGCTATGACCGGAAAAAAGGAGAAAGATATAAAAACAGTCATAAAGTACTTGAAGTATTTTCCCATGGGACTGTTAGGGAATCCATGAATGGCGCTGCCTAGCAGGTAGAGGAGGCTTAAGGTGACCACAGAAGGTAAAAAGGACGCAACAAGACCTACTTTAATAGAGTCTTTTGCAGTCATTCTGATGAGGGATAAGTCATATTTCAATGTGACTATAAATACGGAGTATATGGCAGCGAGCATAGCCATTGTGTCAAAAAGTGGGTTCACTTTGGCTGCGAACAGTTTGTCCTCGAATGGCCTTTTGCCCCCCAAAAGGGAGGACCCCAAGATAATGCCACTCTAGAAAAACAAGCAAACTTTATTAGAAACAATGTGTGTGTGTGTGTGTGTGTGTGACCATGACCATACAAAGTTCAAATCTCATGATCAACAACTGGGAAAACGTACCAGGAGATTGCAGACAAATTTGGTTTGTCCCAATGGTTTGAGAAAATAATAGAGAAATCGAGAAATAAGAACAAATTTGATGATTATGGCTAAGGTTAGAGCGAATGGATCGCCTAAGGGATTATATCCAAACCAAATGCCTTTGTTGTCAACGGGCTGATATGGTATACAATATTCCTCCGGCAATAGTCCAATTGTTTGTGTGACATTGTTCATTGTAGCTACTTTGTACCTCCCAATGGATCACAGATGCAACAACTATCGATCCCATGCCGCCATCTCAGTAATATTCACGGAAATCATCGGAAAGGGTGGTTGTCAGCAGCCGTTAAGAAGACTAGAACGAGCACCCACAGCCGGTAGAATTCAAGTTGAGAAATCTCATGCAGTACTGGAATAATTGGCAGTTGTGTCTCAATTACCGTTTAGTGGTCTTTGGCATGAGGCGTTGAAGTAAGAAATAGTAGGGCAACGTACGAAACGTGATTTGGTAGTTTTTGGCGGTTATGGCGCGCCCTTCTGCTGTAAGAAAGTCGTTAATCGTTATAGAGGGTATATAATAGTTTTCAGTCTCGTGGTACAAGGTGACGAGGTGCAACTAAATTAAGAGAGTTGGTTAATTACGTTGTCGGAACAGCTTTCTATTTTTTATTTATATTAAGAAAGTTAACATCCATGCATGTTGGAGTTTGTTTAAGCTGATGAATGTGCATGATCTGTAATTTGCTTATGTTTAGTTTGTTTAAGCCTTTTACGTGCATAAGTTCACAAGGCAATTTAAGACATGTTGAAAACCATGCTATACAAGTTGAAAATTATGTCATCCAACAATAACAAATTTGACAACACCATCATTGTAGTCATCCTTACGTTTTTAATTTTTGACTAAACCATGTAGGCGTTCAAACTCACAACTTTTATAACAATGGGAATGTTTTGGGCTTTTCCTCTATCTTAGGTCCATTTATTTAATGCCCTGACGAAACAATACTTCGGCCTCTTCACAAATGCCATTGTTCTGTTCGTAGCCCCCTTGCTCGCCATTCAGTTTGACACGGGTAGATACCCATAATTCAACGACCCAAATGGAATCAAAATCGATCTCAATAATATAAATCTGATGTTACAACTAGTTCGTGATTCCGTGGGTGACAGCACGAGAGAGCTTCCATTTGGCATCGGCAGAAGTGGTCGTTTTGGTCGCGGCGTGGTTGTTGGTGGACGGTGACCGGTGTCGGTGGCATGGTTGCTAGTTATTTGCCCATTTATGTTTGTTTATAAATATTAAACTTAAGTGGTGAGTGAAGTTACACATGGGTAACTGGTGAGTGAAGTCGCATTCTTCGCACCATTAAGTTTAGTTTTTTTCTAACTACATGTTTCATTCTTTTACTAAATCAAGTCGCATTTTTCAATTAATTGGCACTAGGCCCAAATAGAAAATAGTGAAAAATTAATGGACCACTTGCTCACTTGTTTAACAAGTCCAACAAGAGCAAATCTACAGTACCACAGCTTGTAATACTGATATCTCACTGCTGTCTTGAAAAACAAGTTGTGGATTCTAAGGATGCAAAATTATCATATTGTCTCTTGCCTTGAAACGTGCACAAACATTCTTTACATGTCCGAATTACATCACGTTTATGCTCACGTTTTCATGATGACGAGTACTACTTAAATAAAGCAAGAAAATAATCAAAAGGTGAAAAGAGTTCAGAGGTCCCGTAGGATTTTCATATAGCGTATCAGGGCATTTTTAAACGTTTCATAAATTGTATCCATAAAATCATGTTTTTCGATGTCCTGAATCCGCTTATGACGTCTGTTTCCCGAAATTCGATCGTTTTAGTATAGTTTTATTAATTGATCCCTTTATGTGCTTAGGTGCATTTGTTAGTGGCGTTTCTGTCCTACCTAGTTTGAACGGCTCTTCGGTGACAGAGTATCAGTGAGTGGACCCCTTCCAAATTGCATGATTTTACTATTTGGACATCGGGATGGCCACGTGCTGGGTGACACCCAAGGGTGATGCAAGTCATTTGATGAATGCATATGCTGAGAACATGTGAAAACATGCATATAAATTTCGCGCATAACTACGCAATGTAATATTCAAATACAACCTTAACAAAATAATATAATAAGTTCAACTGTCAACAAAATAAAAGTGATAATGCATAACATGTTCAGAGCATACGCATTCATCAAATGGCTTGCGTCACCTTTGTGTGTCGGCCAGCACGTGGCCATCTCGATGTCCTTCGAACACCAAGATCGAGGCGTGTCATGCAGGGTTCTTTCCAGCCCCTCGAAACAATGCAAGTCTAAGAAAAGGCCAGACCAAGGCCTATAGAAAGAAGAGAAGATCAAGGCCCATAGGAAGAAGGGATCACCAAGACCTTAGGAGTTAAGAGAATACAACTCATTGGCACATGATAGACCATCTATGAAGTGCTAGGCATGCAGTGCTAGGCAAAGTGATGGGCGGACCAGGATGTTCTACCGAGGCCACTTCCTTACCGAGATCACCAGAGGATGCTCTAATTAGACCACTAGACCAAGATGTTCCACCATTCGAGAGTGTTCTAATAAGACCACCATTCTAGGATGCTTTACCAGGGCCACCAGAGCAATGTTAGGCTTAGGGCTACAATGCAATGCTAGGTAGAGTGCTACACAGTCGGCCACCTCCCTGAATGCCCTACGGACAACCACTACATGAATGCACGTTGATCAAGACTAGATATTCCTTTTATCTGAGGCCACTCATTTGACCTTTCGTAGGAAGGTGGGCCTTTTGCCTAAGAGAGAGCAAAGAAAAGAGAGATGCTAATTGGGTGGAGACCTACGGGTCTTGGTCTTCTCCATGAGCTGTTTTTGAGCCATCTCAAATAGTATTTTGTAATCTCAAGCAAATATATATACAATTTATAGTGGACGTAGCTTGTTTATGGTGAACCAATATGGATCTTTGTGTTCATCTTAGTATCTTACTATTATTTTTTATAATATCTTTTAAATTAACTTTGAGATTAGTGAGTTTCAACTCACCTGCACCTGAGTTTGACCAGTAAATTTTGAGTGTTAACATTAATATGGGTAAGGGAAAATAGTAAAATAATCAAAACAAAACAACCTCACATCAGTAATTACTAATCATTTTTTTATTCTTTAAAATTATAAAATGTAAATTAAGTTTATTTTTTGCCAGGCTATAGTCCAATATAAAGTCTTTGAAAAGTCAAAGATTGACACGTTCCCCCTGTAGATTTACCAGACTAAAGATTTGGTTAAAATTATAAGAAGAACATGTCCCGCACCACTATACAGATCTCTGCCACAAGAAAGGCCATAAATCTGGAAATTTAATTACAAAATAATGGAGAAGGAAAAAGGAATAATGGGAAAAAAGAAAACAAGCTACAATTAAAACCAAGTCATCATCCTATACAAAAAGAAGCAAATAGCAACAATTTCTAATCTCCAAAGTTGCACCTTCTAACTAGGAAAAAAAAGATATTACTGAAAGCAATTTCAATGCCTCGATCAATTAACATAACTCGTATCAGCAATATCTTCAAAAAAGAAAGAGTACAGAATCATATCTGCCGGCAATTCCGCTTCAATGCGAACGTTGGTGGCCTCAACCGTATATTGGCGAAATTGCAGCATACAATTCCAGAAAAAACAACTTCCTCTATTTTAGGGTAACAAAGGTTTAGTGCCCGTCGAACTTAGTCTACTTTCCGACTCTTTTCTGGACACACTTCGAAATGCTCCAAACCCTAATTCTATGCTTTCTTGTATCACCAACACATTTACCGTCCCACCACAAAAATCCGAGGAAGCAACAATGTCGCCGATCACTCCCAACTCTGCATTCTCGACAAACGCTGCCATTTCTTCGTCCCTCAATGTCATATCTGAATGCCGTCTCCCCACCATGACGAGGTTATATTCCCCCTGCGAGTTCATAACCGCATCCATAAGTTGTACTCCGTCATGCACTTCAATTTCCCGCCATAACAACATATGATTCCTCATGTTTTTTAGCCTAAACTCGTTCACCAACGCTTCATCCAGCTTTGCCTCCTGCAGCTCGGCTTCTTTCCCTTCTTTTGATGTACTCTGAAGTGTTATCCTGAACACCGTGATGCCAACATTGGGGTTGCAAGACATGCGTTCCGCGTAGGCTAAGACCTCGCGGTCGTCTGCCCCCCCAACGAAAAACACAGCCACGTTGAAAGAGAAGTGGGGCAAGCTCATCCGACAGGACAAGCCTTTGTCGACTAGGATCCCCACCGTACACGGTGAGTATGATTGCACATTGGCGTTGAATTGGCGTATGCCAGCGGTCATACTTGGGCCAACAATACCCTGGTAGTTTTCATGAAACGGTATGATGATCAACGGCACAAACTTGTTATCAGCTAGACGGAAAAGGGTCTCATGCATGCATTTAAATGGCGAGATCATAGTGTAAGGTTGGCTTATGACTGATCCACCGGCAGTTTTTGAGTACTTGTCGAAGGCTCTCATTATTTGATGAGTGGTTGTGTTTTTGGAGCACAATTTGTTCCTCTTGTCATTACTATGGCAAGGGAGTAATAGTTGTGCAGCACAACCAATGAGCTCGACTGCGTGAACAATGTAGGCGCAAATGGGGCTTGATTCTGTCGGGTTTGAGGCTTCGAGGAGGGTTATGATATTGGGGACACTTTCTTCATTTTGGACGCAACATAGAAGGCGAAACATTTCAGACTTGTTGCTTGGCATTGACTGGATGTTTCTGAATCGGGGAAGTATGGATTTGGATGCTCCGAAAGGTTTGTATAAGTATCGTACCAATGGTGTTACAATCATGGTAATCCCAAGAGAAGACAACACCAGTTGGGTAAAACATTGGTCATCTATGGCCTGCAATTAATAAAAATTTGGGACCCGAATTAGTCGTTTAATGAAGGGTTAAAGAGGACTATTATAAACAATAATATCACCAATACACCAACCAATTGATTGAGTTGGTAAGGATCGTTTTCTTCGCTAGGCAAAGGCCTAGAATCGAGTCTCGCTAACTACAACCCCCAACGATCTAAGATTCAAATAATTTTTTGTAAGAATGATCTCCAAATACATATTAAGAAGTCGAACAATTCCCGTTAGGAAGTTTGGATGATAAAGATATATTATTCGCAAGGGGTGAATATGTGGAGTGAATGCAAGCATTATATGTCGTTAAATGAGGTATAAATGGTAGCACTCATTATTAATTACCTTTAATTCCCGCCAATGAGTATAAACGATAAGCTCGATTATACCCTTTGTACTCATCATTAAACTCAGCAAGATACTATTCTTGAATCTGATTTTGCAGCACCATGCAATCACTGTAACCCCCACGATCTTTGCAACATATGACACAACAATCAGAAGCTGAAGTTTGGTAAAACTCGTCCAATCTTCAACGGAGTAGACATTAATGTCAAAGCCAATGCGGAAAAAGAACAATGGAAGAAGAAATTCAGAGACCACGTATTCAGTCTTGTGTACGATTGCTGAACCAAGAGGCGGTCCATTTGGAATGACTAACCCCAGTAGTAAAGGACCATAGGTAGACCTCATGCCTATGATATCAGAGATGAATGACATAACTAGAACCCCAAGCTGTAGTGCAATGACATAACTTTCCTTGACTTCTTTTCCTTGTGGAGTAACTTTGATGATCAATTTTACAACTAGCCGTATGACGAAAATAGTGAAGAATATCATCCCCAATAAGCAAGCACAAGTCTTAAATCCATCATTTATAGTTTTCTGAGCGTGCATAAGATGCGCTGCTGCGAAGTTCCACTGGACTATTTCATTCATGGCCGCGGAGGACATGGTAAGTTGTCCCAACTCCGAAGTCATAAGGTTGAGTTCATCCAAGGCCTCAAGTACGACTGGAAAATAAGTGAATGACAAAGAAATGGAAACGAAGAAAAGGAAAAATTTTCCTCCTTTGAGTCCAGGAATGGTTCGGCCTATCGTGAAAACAGTGCTTGAGGTGATTGCTGATGGAAAGAGAAATGTCACTAGAGCAATCTTCCAGGTTTTCTTTGCCATCCTTTTGACCATGTTTACATCAAATTTTACCATGGCTAGGAATATGGAGTATATTGTTGGTATTTGACAGTTTACTAACTCAATACCAAAATATGTGGGTGATAAGTTTACAAACTCTATCACACCTCTTTCACTTTGCACTCTCAAATAAAATTGGACAAAGAAAGAAATAGAGAAAGGAGGGAAGCAACAAGCTTTGATAAAACACTTGGACTTTGATATATGAAAAGAGAGTTTACAAACTCTATAGCTTACAAGCTTAAAATGAGAATGAGAAATGGGATTTTGATGGGATGATTTACAATGCTTGAGAACTTGGGTATTTATAGCAAACCAAATGATTAAACTAAGATTATTTATTACCACACAAAACACATTAATTGCACCTAATAATTTTTATTCAACCATACCTAACATTGCCAAACTTTCAATGCCTAACTTTGACATTGATTTTCAACAATGGCTAGTAGCACCCTTTTTTTGATTTGAATTTCCAACACACCTCCTCAAATCAAAACGCCTTCATTCCTAGCATTTCACGCAGTAGCCGGAATGTTTCAATTGGCAATGGCTTTGTGAAGATGTCTGCCACTTGTTCCTTGGTGTGACAGTAGACAAGTTCAATTGTCTTTTGCTTCACATGGTCCCTTAGAAAATGGAACCTGGTATCAATGTGCTTGCTCCTTCCATGTTGTACAGGATTCTTTGCAAGTTTGATTGCAGACATGTTATCTACGTGAATCACAGTCGATTCCACTTGTGGATGACACACTGACTTCAACAGATTTCTTAACCAAATTGCCTCACACACGGTTGAGGCTACAGCAACATACTCGGCTTCACATGATGACAAAGCAACAATTGATTGCTTCTTTGAAGTCCATGAGAAAGCTGTTGATCCTAGAAAAAATACATAACCAGTTGTGCTTTTCCTTTCATCTTGGTCACCTCCCCAATCACTATCTGAATAACCAAATAATTTTGCATCTTCACCAAAATTATAAAATAGACCATAGTTTAGAGTACCTCTTATGTACCTCAAAATTCTCTTGGCGGCCAGCCAATGAGACTCCCTTGGTGTTTCCATGTATCGACTCACGAGTCCAACACCATAAACTATATCAGGTCTTGTGATTGTAAGGTACCTTAGGCTTCCAACGAGGCTTTTGTACATTGTTGAGTTTACAAACTCACCCTCTCCTCCTTTGGACAGCTTCAATCCAGTTGCGACTGGGGTATTGACAGTGTTGCACTTGTCCATATTGAACTTCTTCAATATGTCTTTCATGTACCTTTGTTGAGAGATGTAGATACCATCACTTTCTTGCTTCACTTCTATGCCAAGAAAGTATGACATTAATCCATTGTCAGTCATCTCGAATTCACTGAACATGGATTGCTTGAACTCATGGAACATTGCCTCATTGTTTCCTGTAAACAATAAATCATCTACATAGAGACAAATAATTAAGAACTCCCCTTTTTCACCATTCTTCATGTAAACTGAATGCTCGTATGGACATTTCTGAAATCCATTTTGGTGAAGGTAGTTGTCGATCCTTGAGTTCCAAGCTCGTGGTGCTTGCTTGAGGCCGTACAAAGCCTTCTTCAAACGATACACCTTATCTTCTTCTCCTTGTACTTGGAAGCCTTCCGGTTGTTCCACGTACACTTCTTCCTCAAGTACTCCATTAAGGAAGGCTGACTTGACATCTAGTTGATAAATTTTCCATTTATGATGTGCGGCAAGAGAGATTAGCAATCTTACCGTGTCAAGTCTCACAACTGGAGCATAGACTTCATCATAGTCCACTCCATACTTCTGTTTGTAGCCCTTTGCTACAAGCCTTGATTTGTATCGATCCACACTCCCATCTGCAGTGCGTTTGATCTTGTAAACCCACTTGACACCAATAGCCTTCTGATTTGGTGGGAGCTTTGTCAGCTCCCAAGTGTCATTCTTCTCGATGGCATGGATCTCTTCTTCCATGGCTTTCTTCCAACAATCTTCTTCCACAGCTTCATTGAATGAGAAAGGCTCGTGGTCTGCATACAAGCAGAAAAGGTTGGTTTCTTCTTCTTCTTCTTGTCCATAAATCTCTGTGAGATTCCTTAACCTCACTGGAGTTGAGGAGCTGCTTTCCTCACTAGATGTAGGACCACTCCTTGCAATTCTGTGCACTGGAGTTGTTGTGATTGTTTGAGCAGGCTGTTGCTCAATCGGTGGTACAACTTCTGGTTCTTCAAAATCAGTGGAGACGATCTTCTCTTTACTGACTTCTTTGTTGTTCCACGTCCATGTCTCTTCCTCACTGAAGATGACATCTCTACTAACCACTAGTTTGCCAGTTAGTGGGTTGTAGAGCTTGTATGCCTTGGACTCTTCACTATAGCCCACAAACACACACTTCTCACCTCTATCATCAAGTTTCCTCCTCTTGGCTTCTGGAACTTGAGCATATGCAACACACCCAAAAATTCTTAGGTGTGTAACATTCGGCTTGTATCCACTCCAAGCCTCTTGTGGTGTCATCCTCTTGACACTCTTTGTTGGACATCGATTCAACAAATAAATCGAACAAGCTACAGCTTCTGCCCATAACTCTTTTGGCAAATTCTTCTCCTTAAGCATGGACCTTGTCATGTCAAGGATGGTTCGATTCTTTCTTTCGGCTATCCCATTTTGCTGTGGGGTATAGGCAGCAGTAAGTTGATGCCTAATTCCTTGCTCCTTGCAGTATGCTTGGAAAGCATTGGAGGTGTACTCTCCACCTCTATCTGATCTCACAGCCACAAGCTTGTGGTTACTTTCTGCCTCTGTGAGTGCCTTGAACTCCTTGAAAATTTTTAGGGCAGCTGACTTCTCCTTGAGAAAATAGACCCAAGTCTTTCTACTGAAATCATCAATGAAGGTAATAAAATACTTATTACCTCCATAAGACATGGGATCCAAGGGACCACATATATCTGTGTGCACCAACTGCAGTGGTGCCTTTGCTCTCCATGTATCACCAACAGGGAACGATAGTCGTGCTTGCTTGCCAAGCACACAACCTTCACATACTTGGCGTGTGGCTTCAATCTGGGGTAGACCACGAACCATTCCTCCACTTGACAGCAACTTTAGGCCATTGAAATTAAGATGGCCAAATCGAAGATGCCATTTCCATGACTCATCTTCCATTACACCGATGTTGCAGCTTCCAATCTTTGTGTTCAAATTCAACGGAAACATCCGGTTCTTTGACATTCGAACACGTGCAATAAGCTTTCTCCTTGCATTCCTGAGAGTGAGAAGCATGTTCTCCATATGTATAATGTACCCTTTCTGGAGCAGTTGACCAATGCTCAGAATGTTGCTCTTCATACCTGGTATGTAGTAGGTATCGGAGATGTATTCTTCTCTTCCATCCTTCTGGATGATCTTGATCTTCCCTTTGCCTTCAACTGGCAACTTTGAGGAGTCACCAAGACTTACAGATCCATAGGCCCCTTCTTTGAGTTCGGCAAAAAACTCCTTCTTTCCACACATGTGATTACTTGCACCAGAGTCCAAATACCAAACATCTTGTTGGCTACTGGAATCATGGTGTGCTAGTAAGACTGTAAGTTCTTCATCAGTATTTCCACTTGATTCTGCCATGTTGACATGCTCACCATTTTTATGTGAACATTCATTGGCATAATGTCCATATTGCTTACAGTTGTGACACTGGATATGCGCCTTTCCTCGAGTAGATCTCCACTCCTGAGACTGACCTTGATTTTGTGCATAGCCTCGACCTCTTCCTCGGGCTCGTCCTCGGCTACGGTTGGATGAGCTCCCACGACGTGAGTTCCACTGCCCACGACCTTTATTTGGTTTGTCAATATTCAACTTTGACTCCAAAGCTTGCTCTAGCGTTGTGGGGCTTGCATTCTTCTGAATGCGTTGCTCGTGAACTAGGAGGGATCCTAGTAGCTCTTCTGCGCTCATCACCTCCAAATCCTTGGATTCCTCAATGGCAGTCACCACATGCTCAAACTTAGATGTGAGTGACCGGAGTATCTTCTCCACAACTCGTACTTCATCGAGTCTCTCGCCATTTCTCCTCATCTGATTTACTATCACAATGAGCCTTGAGTGATAGTCGGAGATGCTCTCCCCTTCATTCATATGAGCAGTTTCAAAATCTGCTCGAAGTGATTGTAACCTCACTTTCTTGACTCGATCTACTCCTTTGTAGATTGTACTGAGTGTATCCCATACTTGCTTGCTCGTTGTTGCTTCTGCAACCTTCTCGAACGTTGAATCTTCCAAACCCTGGTATAGAAGATACAGCGCCTTTTGGTCCTTCTTTCGTAAGTCCTTGAGAGTGTTCCTTTGATCCGCAGTATATACGGCTTCTTGCTCGGCAGTGGGTACAACATACCCACTACTGACAACTTCCCATAGCTCCTGTGATCCAAACAATGCTTTGAATTGGATGCACCATCTTTCATAATTTTCTTTCTTCAATGTGGGAACTTGGAGTTGCACTAAGTTGGACGCCATAACTGCTGCACCTGCCAGAATGGTATTCTGGCTCTGATACCAAATGTTGGTATTTGACAGTTTACTAACTCAATACCAAAATATGTGGGTGATAAGTTTACAAACTCTATCACACCTCTTTCACTTTGCACTCTCAAATAAAATTGGACAAAGAAAGAAATAGAGAAAGGAGGGAAGCAACAAGCTTTGATAAAACACTTGGACTTTGATATATGAAAAGAGAGTTTACAAACTCTATAGCTTACAAGCTTAAAATGAGAATGAGAAATGGGATTTTGATGGGATGATTTACAATGCTTGAGAACTTGGGTATTTATAGCAAACCAAATGATTAAACTAAGATTATTTATTACCACACAAAACACATTAATTGCACCTAATAATTTTTATTCAACCATACCTAACATTGCCAAACTTTCAATGCCTAACTTTGACATTGATTTTCAACAATGGCTAGTAGCACCCTTTTTTTGATTTG